AAGAACCAGAAAATAAAGTAAGTCATACGCGGCTGTCATCCGTACGCAAGGAAGTATGCACAAGATGCCGAAAACCCTTAGCAGGATGCGGCGCAACCTTCATGCGACTCGCTGAATATCTCACGGCGCTTCGCGCTTGGTGATGTGAGAGCCCCGTCCGGTGAGAACCCGGCGTGCTCCGTCCCGGCTTTGTAGGGATGCGAGGTCAATGGTCTAACGACTACGGCATGCACGACTATGAGTACACCCCCCCCCCGAAATATGAGTTTCCTCACCTTCTCCCCCCTCCTCCAATCTCTTCTTCTCACTGTCGTACCCTTTTCTTCTTGGCTCTTTTCGAAGGTCTTCACGATCGGGGATCCCACCCCAACCGAGGCCCCCGCGCCCACCATCTTCGTGAACCCGTCTACCAAGGCGCCGGGCACCCTCTCGCCTGTGCCCACGGCGGGTCCGGTCCTTGTCGGCCCCTCCACGGCCCCCACGACCCCGGTCCCCGTGAACGCCGGTGCCGCCGGCTACCTGGGGTGCTTCGGCGACTCGCAAACCGGCCGTGTCTTTCCCGTCGTCTTCGGCTCCGACAGCATGACTACGGCGGTAAGCGGCATGAGAAGCAAGCGACGAAGGAAGGGCGTTGTTAGTGCTTTGGCTTTGGTGGTTTCATCGCCGTCGTAAAGGACTTCACGCCGACTCTTTGTTTTTGGTTTCATTTTTGTCTCTGTTCATATGTGACGGAACACCATAAATCCTTCTCCACGCAATAAATGAGCGCTGGGCATTAGTGATCGGTTCATTGCGAATAACGGAGCACTACTACATGCGCCTCTTCGCTTCCTCAAGCAGCATACAGGAGCGGGCTCTACAGGCTGGGGTTTTCTTTTTTTTGTTCGCCGCGTTTTTACCTCCGGTCGTCGCTTTTGTTGACCTTCTGTTGTTGTTGTTGTTGTTGCCATTGCTGCACCAGCACTCCCCGCGGGCCACGTTGCGTCTCTCCACGTCGACACGCGTTGTTTTTCCCCGTCCCTCCCACCGATCCTTGTTCTGCCCCCCGCCCTTACCTCCGGTGCTTGCCGCCGCTAATGCTACTGCTGCTGCTGCTGTCGTTTCCGACCATCGGATAACATCTGGACGGCGCCGGAAACCGGCGTCACCGTACGACAACAGATTTGTGCGGACACTTGCGCTGAGTATGCCTACTATGGCACGCAGTACGGCAGGGAGGTGAGTTGAGACTTGGAGAGCGCGGGCCTGCCTGTTGTGTGCATGAATGCTCTTCTTGTCGGCGCCCCCTGGACAAGGTATTGGGTCCCCAAAAACGAGGAGTAGTTCCCAAAACAAAACCAAAACACACATAGTCGGAACACTTGCTATAATTCAACAGCTAAGCTATGATGTACGTGTGACCACGAGTTGAAAAAAACAACACAGAAGGTGTCGTGAGCGCTGATTTTTTGGAGGTAAATACAATAAAAATATATTAAAGAAAATGATGCGCGCGCGTGTCGGCGAGGCTGGAACCAAGAATAGTTCGTGTCAGATGATGTAGACGACGGTGGTACAGCTTGGGGAACGATAGGGCTCTCTCAACCGATTCCCTAGCTCAGCTTTTGCGTCGGGCAAATTGTGCTTGGCACCACAACACGCCTCGTATCAAAGACCACGGTTGCCTCTCTTAATGCCGACAAGGAAGTCTCTTCCCGCCTTGCATTTTGTATCGGCTTAACACTGCGTTACCTCTCCCTACGCTGACAAAGCCAATCCCTTACCGTCGTCGCCCTTTTTCTTCTTCAAATGGATGTCGTCAGTGCTGGTGCGGCAACAACGCCGACTACGCCGTCTACGGAGAGGTAACGTGCGACATGGAGTGCACTGGTGATTCCTCGGCCACCTGTGGAGGCTTCAACGCCATGTCGGTACGAATGTATGCAGCAGCCCGTTGTCTCAGTAACTCGGTGTATGTCTTGGCTCTGCGCCGCAACGTACTCGTCGAGGCATATTCACACGCCAGGGTTGGCGAGCGCGAAGCGAGCTCAAGTAGCTCGGTACAGCGACCTAGGACTATCAACTGTACAACAGCCTAGCTTGGGGCTTGTTTGTGGGTTGTAGCGTTAGGGTTTTGCGGGTGAGGCTTAGCGCCGTGGTGAATCCTGAGGGCTGGAAACCTGCTAGTGGCTTTCGTTTCGTGTCTACCTCCCTCCAGCCATGGCCCAAATATTTTTTGTCTGGCTGTGAGGGTTATTCGCGCGTCAACACGTACACAGAGCGTCAGGAGGACTTTTGTATGGCTAGATACTGCTGCAGCACCGACAACGAACAGGGTGTCGAACGCCCCATCTGTTTTTTATTTTCTGTCGGGATTGTTAGTACGTGGCAGACTTGCCGTGTCGCAATCATCTTTGGCAGAGAATGGACTCGACGATTGCAGGAGGCGAACTCAGGAGTCTTCCGATCCAACTACTACGTCGACAGCGTACCTATCAACAATAGGGAATGTCTCGTGTGGGATTGGTGTGCCGTTTCGAGGAGACGTCCTCCCTCTACGTTCGTCGTCCATCCAGTTCCTACAGTTAGGGCCCGCACCTAAGAACATCTAGGTACGACCGAGGCTGATGTTCTTGGTCCCTGGAGTTTTACGCGACGATTGACCGCTATTAGGGTCGAGGTGTACGGGATTTCCTGAACCGACCCCGTAACAAACGGTGCTCAAGTTTCAGGTCGAGTTTCTCGATGCTCAAGTTTTTCTCTCTGATTCGCTGCCAACTTCTCAAGTGCGCGCGCTACATAACATCATCTAACTTATCAATTTTTCGCGTTGTCGTCGTTCGCCTTCCCCCCCGTCAATAACGCCTTTGCCCGCAGTTCTACTCGACCGGCTTGGTGGTAGAAACGCCGTCTCCCGTCCCGGAGGTAGAAACCCCGTCTCCCGTCCCGGATGAAGAAACCCCGTCCCCGGTCCCGGATGGCGAAACGCCGTCTCCCGTCCCGAACGAAGAGACCCCGTCGCCCGTCGGGACCGGGCCCACCGAGCCCGGGTACCTCGGGTGCTTCGGCGACTCGCAAATCAAACGTGTCTTCCCTGTCGTCAAGGCCTCCGGTAGCATGACCACGGCGGTAAGCGGCACGATAACGAAGCGACGAAGGAAGGGCGTTGTTGGTGCTTTGCTCTGGTGGTCCCCCCCGTGGCACAGGCATGTTCACAGCCGTTGATGATAACGTAACACCGACCTGTTTTTTTTTTTGGCATTGTTTGGTAACGGAACACGATGTATGCATCTCTACTGGCAGAAATATGAGGGTCTAGATTTGTGATTGATTGACTTCTTTAGGGAGCGCACTACTACCTTTGACTCTACGCTTATTCAAGCAGCATTCAGGAACACGCCGTACAAGATTAGTTTTCATTTGTTCGCAGCGTTGCTCGCTTCAGGCCGTCGGCTTTGTCGACCTTTGGTAGTTGGTGGTGGTGGTGTTATTGCACCTCCGTTCCATGACTCAATCCCCGGCGGCGACGTGGTCCAACCTTGACCGTTGCGGTGTGGCGGCGACATGGCAACCATAACCATCCCCGTCCATACCACCGATCCTCGTTTTTATCTGCCGTAATCTTCGGTATTTGCTCCTGTCCTCGTTTGCGACCAACGCACCACATCTGGACGGCACCGGAAAATGGCGGCTCTGTACGGCAACAGGGCTGCGCGGACACTTGCTCAGACTATGCCTACTATGGCACGCAGTTCGGGAGGGAGGTGAGCCTAGCCCTGAAGAGCGCGAGGTTGTGGCGTGCATGAAAGCTTTAACCTGTTGGACGTGCCTGGGCGATACATTGGGTTCCCAACACTGAGAACTCCCATCCAGCAAAACAGATCGCACGTACGATAGTTTGTTTCTCTTGCAGCAGCTGTCATTGACAGCCGAAAGTGATGCATGCGCGTGTCGGTGGTGCGGCTGGAACCAAGAATGCTACGCCTCCGATGAAGGTATAGACGAGGGCGATGACAGTCTCGCACGATTTTGCCGCGCTGTGTTTGTATGCGAGGCGGAAGCGAAAGCTTGCGGGACGACGAGTTTCTCTCACCCGATACCCTAACTCAGCTTTTGCCTCAGGCGGCCGTGCTGGTCCTCTCAAACAAGAGGTATTCGATGTATTTGTTGAGGGTGGTATTTTATCCGTTATGATGGTGTGGGGCGCTCAGTGTTTTTTGTGTCACTTTAGTTTGCCTATGACCACGGGAATCGACCTCGTCAAGTGTTGGGTCAGTGGAGACGCAGGGAGGCACTAGACAGAGAGATCGGAACGGTTACATCAACAACAACGAACGGCACTGCTTCAGCGTTAAATATTGCTCTTGGCACAACAAGACCACGGTTGGCTACCTCTTCATGCCGACATGGAAATCACTTCCCCCCTCGTTTTCAGTATCGTCTAAACACTGCGCTTGCTGCTCCTTACGCTGACAAAACCAATCCCGCCCTTCTTCTTGTTCTTCGAATGGACGTCGTCAGTGCTGGTGCGGCAGTAACGCCCACTACGACGTCTACGGAGGTGAAACGTGCGACATGGCGTGCAGTGGTGATGCCTTGGACGTGTGCGGAGGCGTCGATGCCTTATCGGTACGTACGTACGTACGTACGCACGCAGCTACCTGCTGTGCGACTCATTGCGCGTTTGGACCATTGCTGGTGTGTATGCCTCAAAGTACACGTTAGCAGCTCCCCGACTGGAGGCTACTGCAGCCCCGACAATGCAAAAGGATGGTCGAACGTGTTCATCTGTTTGTTAGTTTGTTCTCGATGCATGCGTAGCAGACGTGCGCGCCCGCGTCGCAATCATCATTGGCAGAGAATTGACTCAACTGAAGCAGGCGACAGAATCGAAAGCGTGAGTCTCCATAATTAACCCGCAGAGGCAGTAACAAAAGAGTGCTTGGAGTTCGTCTTGAGGCGTGCTGTGTCGGAGAAAGCTCAACTACGACGTAAATAGCGTACCTCTGTCTCTTTTTTTAAATGTGAAGACAACAACAATAATAACAGGGAGGAAGTGTCTGGTGTGGTATTGGTGCCGTTCCGAAAAGACGCCCCCCCTCTACGAGGGTCATCGATCCGGTCGTACAACTAACGCCCACACTCAGGAGCCTCCAGTGTCGACCGAGGCTGATGTTCTTAGGCCCCACAGGGTGATGCACAGAATGGGCGCCTACAACGGTCATGGTGTAGGGGCTCTTAGCCGACCTCACCAAAATAGTGCCCAAGTTCTCGAGTGCCGACATAAAATTTTTCAAAAATTTCAAAACTCTTTCATGTCGTCATAGTCACGCCCCCCCCCCCCCCCCCCCCCCCCCCCCCCCCCCCCCCCCCCCCCCCCCCCCCCCCCCCC